CCCAGTGCTGTTTAATATTTTCATCAAGTTTGCTGATTTTCAGCAAGTTTGCTGATGACACTAAACTGGGAGGAGTGGCTGACACACCAGAAGGCTGTGTTGCCATTCAGAGAGACTTGGACAGGCTGGAGAGTTGGGCGGGGAGAAACTTGATGAAATTCAACAAGGGCAAGTGTAGAGTCTTGCATCTGGGGAAGAACAACCCCATGTACCAGTACAGGTTGGGGATTGACCTGCTGGAAAGTAGCGAAGGGGAAAGGGACCTGGGGGTCCTGGTGGATAGGAGGATGACCATGAGCCAGCAATGTGTCCTTGTGGCCAAGAAGGCAAATGGCATCCTGGGGTGCATTAGAAAGGGTGTGGTTAGTAGGTCAAGAGAGGTTCTCCTCCCCCTCTATTCTGCCTTGGTGAGGCCGCATCTGGAATATTGCGTCCAGTTCTGGGCCCCTCAGTTCAAGAAGGACAGGGAACTGCTTGAAAGAGTCCAGCGCAGAGCCACAAAGATGATTAAGGGAGTGGAACACCTCCCTTATGAGGAGAGGCTGAGGGAGCTGGGTCTCTTCAGCTTGGAGGAGACTGAGGGGTGACCTCATCAGTGTTTACAAATATGTAACGGGTGGGTGTCAGGATGATGGAGCTAGGCTTTTTTCAGTGATGTCCAGTGATAGGACAAGGGGCAATGGGTGTAAACTGGAGCATAGAAGGTTCCACGTTAACATCAGGAAGAACTTCTTTACTGTGAGAGTGACAGAGCACTGGAACAGGTTGCCCAGGGGGGTTGTGGAGTCTCCCACGTTGGAGATATTCAAGGCCCGCCTGGACAAGTTCCTGTGTGATGTTCTCTAGGTTACCCTGCTCTTGCAGGGGGGCTGGACCAGATGATCTTTTGAGGTCCCTTCCAACCCTTGGGATTCTGTGATTCTCAAGCTGGTGTCACTCAAACACTGGAAATGAAAAATGCGGTTGGTTGTGGGAGAACATACAAAATAGGACCTAGTTCATTTTTGCTAAATTTTATTTACAAGGTATATAATAGTCAGTGTTGATGTCTAAACATAGCCGGGAGCTGGTCTGAATTGGTTTTTCTTGGCAATTCTTTGCCCTGGACTGACCTGATTCCACCCGGGCTGGGCAGAGGCCCCTGAGGCATGTGGGGATCACCAGGGAAAAACGGGGAGCCCTGGAGTGGGTGCCAAGGATGGGTGCCAAGGCTTGTCCAGTGAGAGCAATCCCATACCTCACCCCTGGAAAGACACAAAACCCCCTTTCCCTGAAGCGCAGCCTGCAGCCGCACAGCTGGAGGGCTGCAGTGATGCTGCTGGCGCTGGGGCTGTTGCAGGATGCTGTGCAGGCACTGCAGGCAGAGCAAAGGGAACGTGGTGCAGAAGGCTGCTGATACAGAAGAGGAGGAGCACACTTGTTTGGTTTTGCAGAGATAGCTGCTAGCCAGACACACAATAACAGTCTCATTGGGAGCAATTACTCTGCAGCAAGTTTGATGATATTAATTGTTAAGTCCTGAATCATCTCTTTACTTTGTGTTTGCAAGGGACATTTTTTCCTCCTGCACTGGGGCCAGGAATAGCTGTGGTTGGGACAAGTCTCCTTTAGTTTTATAACACAGGCATTTTCATTGGTAGGACAGATCCCTCCAGCAGCTCAGATTTGGCCAGGAAGAATACGGCCTTCAGGCTGGGCCAGGAGGCAAAGCAACTCCAGAGGAGAGTGCAGGAAGGGATGTTAATGCTCTGCCAGTCTGTGAGGGCTGCTGAAAACTTATAAGAGGCTAAACCCACCCTGGTGCTCATGGTGTGCAGGGTAAGGAGGCACAGGCTTACAGGGGAGTCAGACAGGCACAGAGCAGGGGGAACTGCAGCATCCTAAGGTCTTCCAATGCAGTACCATTGTACTAAACATCCCAAGGTCTTCCCATGCAGTACCATTGTACCCAGCTTCTGATGAATCACACTTGGAGAGATGTCTATTAACTCTGGCTGATGTTGGATTAAACCTGGTGAGAGGAGGATGCAGTCTCAGTCTCAGAGCTGGAGAAGTGGACAGGAGCATTCCACAGACACCCTTCCCTGTATCTTTTTCTTCCAAAGGGGGGGCTGTGATGAAAAGGCCAGGGAGAAGCCAGGGTGGGCAGATTGCTGCACCCAGCCTCCCCACGTGCCTCTGCTGTGCAGATCACCAGCAGAAGACAAAACACTCTCTGAAGCTGACAGCCTTTTATTGCAGCTGCTCTGCTCACAGCCCAGTCGAGAAATACCATCAAAACAACACATCTGCCAATGCTGAGCACACACCTGCACGCAGAAAGCTCCCTCCGACCACAGTTTTGAGCATTCAGAGTTTCTTCCTGTTTCCCTGGAGGTGGATGCGAGGTTCACAAAGGCTCCTTTTACCCCTCATGTTTGCTTTGGACACTCTTCTGGCTACTGATTTTGTCTTGCCCGTTGCTGCATCTCCAACTTGCCAGCTCAGAGGTTTTTTACCCTGTTTTTGAAAGGTGACCCTGATCTTGTGTTGTATGACCATATTCACCTGACGGCAGCCCTCATTGCCTAGAGGCAATGTTGTAGAGGGATGTCCTAGCCAGCGATTTGTCTCAATTTGAAGGCAAGCAGAAGACAACCAAGCCACCGCATGCCTGGAACACTTTGCCTTTGCCTTGAAGGCAGGATGAAGATATTTGTCTTGTGAGTTGCAGAGGTCAGAAACAGGATCTTTTTCTTTGTGCCAAGTCTGGTACAAACATCCCTGAAGGGGGACAGCACCACATGATAGCGGAAAATAGGAGAGTACTCTTGGATTAACTGATTTCTCCCAGCAGTGGGTATGTGCTGTAAAATGTATGCAAATGCCTGGCACGAAAAGCAAAAAACTTCCTCTGTAAAAGACAAGAGCTGGACACAAAGGGGAAGGGGGAGAGGACAGGAGCACATGGGAATGGCGATTCATCCTCAGTCTGCCCATCTTCTAGGACTGGGTCTTTGATCCAGCTGAGCTCCAGTGGGATGAAATGCCAGGGGAATTATGCAGGTTAAGGACAGTCCTGCCAGAAAGGGAATGGGTTCTCACACACACTGGGTGTGAAGCAAGCCTGTCCTTGTGATTTAAGGGAAGAGCTTAAATCAGGATTTGGTTGCGGAGTTCACCTCTTCAGAAATGGAAGCAGGTTTGAGGGTTTTACAATTTTTGCACTGAATTATCCTTTCCCAAAGGTAGCCATCGCCAGGCCATCCCAGCAGCCTCCTCAGGTCAGTACCCAAGCAGATACCAGGAGAGACAACAGGCAGCAGACCTGGAGCACTGTTACCCTGGGGATACTTCCCAGCTTCTGGCCATTTGGAACTCCTAGATTCCTGGCCAGAATGGGTGTCTCTGTGTGTAGGCACCTGGATCAACCAGGAATATTCTCCTCCAGTGAAAATGTTGGCATCCTCCAGCCAAGTCCTGTGTGACAAAAAGCACAAACCTGCCCTTGGATTATTTCAGCTGAGGCCATAGGCTTTCCTATCAAGGGCTTTCCTCCACTCCTGGCTTTATTGTCAGCTGTTCATCCCTCCTCTCTCAGCTCTCTAACAGACTGAAGCGGGTGCAGGAGCACCCCTTGCTTTCACCCTCTTTGTCACCCTTCTTCCCCAGTCCCCCAGCCCTTCCTGTGACGAGGGGACCGTGTCCGCTGCGGCGCGCCGGACCGATACCCGCATCCCATGTCCCCACGGCCGAGCCGGCTGCACCCTCTGGCGGCGACCCTGGGTCCAGGCCCTGCCTTCCATGGAAAAGATGCAAATTCCTTCGTCGTCTCCCACCCATGAGGGTGGGGGGAGTTTTTCTCGGGACCCCACTGAGAGGGAGCTTCGGCATTTGCTGAAGGAAGAATGAGGAGCAGTGGGAGCCTTCAGGCGACCAGGGGAAGGGGAGAGCAGGGGCAGCTCTACCAGCTCACAACACCGCAGTGTGCACAGCAGCTATATTTATCCACATGGCCAGCAGCTATATTTATCTGGAATGCCACAGGAGCCGAAAGTCTGCGGGGTAATTTCCATGCTGCGGAAGAACACGATCTGGATGCCCTTCTCACTGCAAACCTTCTCTGCTCCCTGCTCCAGGGAGATTCACTACCATCTCAGGCCTTCTCCGCTCCTCCTTTCACCCCGCTAGCTCTACCATGGTGATGCTGGGCTCATCTTCACTCTGTCCTTCTCACACAGCCCTCTCAGGGTTCCCTTTCCCACTGCCACTTGGAGCAGACATATCCTCATTTCTCTCTCCAAGGGAGCCATTTCTCTTACTGAAGGGAGCGGGCCATCCTCTGGCTGCACTATTCACCCAGCCTGCAGTCTCAGCCAGTTTGTGGGTTTCCCAACGAGCCCCTCCAAGTCACTGAGGGCCACGAAACATGAACTCTTGCCCAAAAGGGCAGGAGCAGGGCATCCTCTGCTGCCAGCCCTCAGCTGTGCCCCAGAAGAGGGAAGATGAACTTAGCCAACATGCATAGCTGACAAAGGACAACCCAAGGTGGGTAGACAAAGCCATGTGAACTTTCCAAAACAAAATCATCTTTTCTGTTTGGTTGAGTTTTGTTTAAAGATGAGCTCATGACTTTTTAATGCTGAGGTTTGGCAGGACTGACTTGTCTCACACAGCATCCTTACCCACTGCCAAGATGCAGCTGTGGTCCCTGAGCTGGCGGGCTCAGCTGCGACAGTTTCCCTGGTCTCCAGGTATTTGCCCATCACCCGTACAACACAACCCTCGGTGTGTAAGAAAGATCCTTACAGCCCCCTTCTCACATAGAGGATGCATGGGGGGAACTTACTGAAGGTGAAAAGTGAAATACCCTGTACTTGAGACTGCGCCCTGGCAGGAAGCACTGCCCTGCTGCACGGGAGGGCCAAGGTCCGCCAGCTGCACCCAGACCCCGAAACGCCCAGTCCCTCCCAACCGCTCATACGCCTGTAGCAGCGGCTTATGAGCCGGCAAACGAGACTCCGCCCGCCGCGGGGGAAGGCGGGCGCGCAGCCATAGCGCTCCCGCTGCCGTTGCGGGAAGGACTTGCCCCTACCGGGCCGACCCGAGCGCTTTCTTCCCCTGCTGGCCCGGCCTTCCCAGCCCCGCGGCGCGATGGGATCCCGCTTGTCCGTGGACGACTCCGTGCGGGTGGTGGTTGTCGGGGGCGGGTTCGGCGGCACAGCGGCCGCCAGCCTGCTCAAGTCCTGGGCCGTCCCCTTCGTGCTGGTGGATGTGAGAGATGCTTTCCATCACAACGTGGCTGCCCTCCGTGCCGCCGTGGAGAGCGGTAAGGGCTCAGCTCATCCCCACGACTTTTCCCCTCTGAGGGTCCCGGTGGGTCATTGCTCTTATCCCCACCAGTGACTGCAGCAGCTCGGGGGAACTCTGGGAGTAACAAGGAACAGTGTACTGAAAGTGCCTCTGCCATCCCATTGATGGTGGAAGAGCTGATGTTTTCTGTCTGGAAAACTACTTGGCTCTGGGACGAGCCACAGACTGTCCGTGTTAAGCTAATTGCATGTCTGCTGGGAAACCTGAACAAAACACTCCTCAGATTGTCCCTGTTTATTATTTCAAGGGTTTAGAAGATGACTAAGCTAAAACGAAGCAGCAGTTGGAAGGGGTGAATAAATGCCTCTCTGTATCTGGCCCTGGATGATAAAACTCTCTCTGTGAGCTGCTCAGACTTGTCTGGGGTCACACTTGGGAGGCTGTGCTACCACCATTACTCCAGTCGCTGGGGATTTAGGAGGAGAAAATCTCATGTTCAAGGCTGGGAACAAGCATCAAAGGTTCTCAAAAGCTTGGTCTGGGGTGCAGATAACATGACAAAAAGCCACTGACATCCTGCCTGAAATGCCCCAGACCAGGCAAACCAGTACAGGAAATTCTGTATGGGAGCAGAGATAAAGCAATCTAGCCAAGGATGTCATGGGGCCTCTGAGGAGCTGATCTTATCAAAACCAAGCCAAAGACCCTAAAGCTCATTGTTGGGCAGAGATAATGCACAGCAGAAGCCTAGCCTGTGGTCCCAGGTCCATACAATGCTTTTGTCTCAGCAGGGATGACATGAGGGGAGAAGGGAAGAGGGGTCTGTTAGCCTCTGTAGAGGGAGATCTCTTGTTCTCTCTTCTTACCACAGGATTTGCCAAGAAGACTTTTATCTCCTACTCTGTCACCTTTGGGGACAGCTTCCGACAAGGCAAAGTTGTTGGCATAGACCCAGAGAGGCAGCAAGTCTTGCTCAGTGATGGAGAGGTGGGTGGCGTAATAACTTGCAATGAGTAACTTGGCTGCCTTATGGGATCACCTGCTGATGTGGCACGTCAGTCTTCAGGAGGCTGTTGTAAATCTCCCCTCCTTAGGGTTTTGATTCAGTCGTGTTATGGCTGTGAGACTGCAGTACTCCAAATCTAGGCTATGTTGGCTTCGACTGGTGATGTCTGTTTGGAGAAGTGACTTGGAATTTAGATTTCAGACTGCTGTCCATGGCTGGTGTCCTCCAGGGAAAAAGAACTGAGCAGAACCACAGGGCACCTACAGAAAATGTGTCTCTGAGTAGGAGGAGGAGTGTAACCCTAATCTGCCAGAGGAAGGTGTGTGCTTGTGCAGAACAGAATTGTGCTCTGGTAAAAACAAACTGGACTCTTGCCCTTGAGTTGGATGAGAGCTGGGAATGCTATCCAGTTGGGGCAAACACCCCCTATCTCCTGCAGCGCAGGCCAGCTGAGACCATGAACCCTGGACCGATAGAGTTACCCCATGCTCACACACATACAGGGCTCCTGTTCTGACGTAACCTGCAGCTTGGTTGAAATACCTGATCCCAAACAAGCCACAACCCAAGCCCTCGGGGAAAGCACTGATTGCTTTCCTCTAGGTTTCTCCCAGCTGTGGATAAATATGCAAATGCTCATGCTTAATACTGGCCCTGTAACTCCAGGACGTAGAGAAGAATAAAACCAATGACTTGCTTCTATGGAGGGCTGTCCTAGAGAGCAGCAGACCCCCAGCAATCTCCTCTAAAACCAAGAGGCAGTGTTGGGAAAGACTGTAGCATTTAATCACCCTGAAGAGCTTAGCAAGAGGATATTTCACCCAAGGGTGTTGAATGGCACCATCCCTCCTAACCATGCTTAAGTGGCCTAGAGCTGTGTTGGGATGTGGTTGTGCAGCAAATAAATCACCCCATCTAGTGCTCAGATGAGCTTTTACTCTTTAGAGCTGCATTTAGAGCTCAGCGATTAACCCTAGCACTCAGATCCTTATCTAACTGCAGAAAGAAACAAGGGCAGCAGCTCTGCTAACTTTTCAGCCAGAGCACTTTATCTCTGTACAGAAGAGGGTGAAGGAGAGAAGATAAGTCTCTGGAGCCAGCTGTGATGGTAGCTTCAGTGTCCAGCACAAGTATCAAATCACTTCCTGTAAACTTAGGGTAATGTCTTTAAAGGTCTCAGCTTACCTGAAGAACGGTGCACCTCTCAGACCCTGAGGCAGGCAGTTACTTGGTGTCACTTGGATCAGGTCACTTTCTAACACTGCAAGTGCTTTCCTAGTTATCAGCAAGGGCTGGAGGAGAGAGAATGAGTGAATAGCACCAAGGAGGCAACAACTGTGTTCTATGCTCTGTTTTTATGAAGTCTTAACATCCTCTTCCATCTTCTGCCCTCCCAGGAGCTTCACTACTCCCATCTCATTCTAGCAACGGGCAGTGATGGGCCATTCCCTGGGAAGTTCAACAAAGTCATTGATATGGAAAGTGCCATCCAGACCTATGAAGACATGGTTAAAGAGGTGAGGAATCTACTTACTTGTCGGAAGTGTTGCCTGCCCTTGTTCAGTTTCCCTGTCCTGGACAACCACCATGCGTATCTGGAGCCATCTGTGTCCAAGGACAAGAAATATCAATACCTGCAGGGAGAGACCAGGACAGGGAGCTCACCTAGCATTCTTTGTGCCCCAGGGGAAGATGAACTGTCTGCACAGGGGAAACTTGAAATGCGTAACGGTGTTACAGTGTACACAGGAAGAGCACATGGGGTTCTCATTGTTTGTTTCCTCGTAACGAACTGGGTGGTTTATTGCTGTTGGGCCAGCACTGTATCTCAGAAGGTCTATCCACAGACTAGCTGAAGGTATCTGACTTCCTGCACTGAACAGTTCTTTTATAACGCAAGCTTCCTCTTTACTTCCAGATTGAGAAATCTGAGCGCATCCTGGTAGTGGGAGGTGGTGCTGCTGGAGTAGAGATGGCTGCAGAGATCAAAACAGAGTACCCAGACAAAGAGGTAGTAGCATATTAGTCACCATTAACTTCATCCTGGTTTCAAAGACTGTTCTTCTGTAATGTCCTGCTGAGGTACCTGAGACACTGCAAATCAGGAGTTTCCATGCAGTGGTGGCCTTCAGCCCTACTGCCTACTCTTCTGAGAGCACCCTATAGCCTGCCACCACAGTTACCAGGACTAGATGCCTTTCACCAGTTCACTCTCCTCAAGCATAAAACAGGGTGGAAGGAAGCTTAGCTGTATCTGCTCCCCACTTCGTACCCCATGTGTCCACCTGTTTGATGTTTTGTCCCCAACAGGTCACCCTCATTCACTCAAAAATTGCACTAGCTGATGCGGAACTGCTAGCTAGTGTCCGTCAGGAGGTGAAATCGATTCTTCTCAGAAAAGAAGTGCACCTATTATTAAGTACGTACTTAGACTTTGAAGCTTTATAACCTGCTGTTCTTTAGCCAGAGCATCTCCTTCTGATGTCTTCTGACCTTTTTGACTAAGCGTGGCTCTCCTGAATTCCTGTTTTGCCAGATATCTCTAGGCTAGCTGGCAACAGCAGCCTAGTACGGGTTTGTGACCCAGGGCTCTCTGTTGCAACAGGTGAAAGGGTCAGCAATGTGGAAGATCTCACAACAAACCAGTTCCACAAGGACATGGTAGTAAGGACAGAAAAGGGCACTGAGGTGGTTACTGACATGGTGGTTATGTGCACGGGTATAAAGATTAACTCTTCAGCCTATGCTGCTGCATTTGGTAAGTGAAAAAACCACGGTGGGGAGAAGCAACACGGTTCTTCAGTGTCTTGTAGTTGAGTACTGTCAGGTTAGCAATCAACCTTATGCAACTTGCAGTGGTTATCCCATGATACAGCAAGTGCTCCAACATCACATTAAATACTTAAGTGTGAAATGTGACCATCAGAAACTTACAGTTCCTTGCTTTGAGTTAATGACATGTTTGATAATATCATCAACATTTTGGGGTCTCGGGCCACAGGCAATGCAAAGCTCCTTCTGAAAATCTGCTGTTTGGCGAAACAGGGGACAAAATGGCAAGTAATGGTGCTCTGAAAGTCAACAAGCACCTCCAGGTGGAAGGCTATGAGAACATCTATGCCATTGGGGACTGTGCAGATCTGAAAGAACCAAAGATGGCTTATCATGCTGGGCTCCATGCCAACATCGCAGTGACAAATATCATCAACAGCCTGACACATAAGCCTCTTAAAACCTACAAACCAGGTGAGATTATCTCCTAGCACCTTCCTTAGATCTAGGGCTGTTTTTATGCAGGGAACAGCTGTTTAACATGTACACATCAGAACTTGCATGTGACACTGATTAGAGGTGAAGGAACTCATGACTGGAGTTGACCATATAAGCTTAAATCTCAGACTTCATCTTAGTTCTTGCCAAAGACACTCTAGATGTTAATTACCTGTGTCAGTCTACAGCTACAAGTCCTTTCTTCACTGTCTTCCTGATAAATCTACTGGTGGGTGTCTGCTATTCAACAAATTCACTTCCTTTTCTTTAAATTGCTTACTGTTCAGTTGAATCCTAGGAACAAGATGACTTTGCTTTCTCCTCCTTTCTCCCCTTAAACTATACAGCAAACAAACTGAACAATCTAGTCTCAAAAATCTAGCTAGGTAATGGGTTTCATCAATAAGCAATTGATGTAAATACTTACCGTAACCATGTTGAAAGCTGTTCCACATGGGTATCTGGACAGCAGTTTGATTTTTAAAGGCTGCTCTGCCTGTTTAAATTTCTTTCTACTTACATTTTGTTGTTTATGTCTTGGACTTCCTCTTGGAGGAAAAAAATCATTCTCCTGATGCATGTACAAATACAGCCCAATCCTTCAGCAATTCCGTTACTGAGAGGTAGAGCAGATTGTGGAAAGGAGAGAGTTGCAAGTAGTTCTCCTTTGGCCTCTTCCCTTGTCATGCAGCACGAGTCCTGTGCTTAGCAGTACGTGTGGGTAAGAAAGGAGGGTTTGAACGAAGTGAAACACCTACATGCAGTAGGGCTTGATACTTCTGTTTGAAGCTGCTTAACTTAAACCTCTACATCTTCTTTCCAGGGTCGCTAACATTCCTGCTTTCAATGGGCAGGAATGATGGTGTAGGCCAGGTGAACGGTTACTACGTGGGACATCTCTTAGTGACCATTACTAAGAGCCGGGACCTGTTTGTCTCCAAGAGCTGGAAGACAATGGGACAGACAATGCCCTCTTAAGACAGGATCAGTAACAAACTGGCAAGGAATACAGCAACAGGAAGAGAGTAAGGGTGCACTTTTACTGCTTGAACAAACTGATACTCTCTCCTCTCCTCCACCACCACCATTAAAAGACACCCACTAGCACACTGCATTAAAGGGGTGCCCTGCCTTGCTGTAAAGGGTTAAGGAGGCACTTTGCAAATGAAGTGTACAGAAATTCACATGATAAAAAACAGGGAACAAATGTTTCTTTTACTTCCCTGTTGAGACAGCTTTGAGCAAGAAATGTGGTTTACCTGGATTTGTAACAATAAACATTGTGGTTTTCAAAATCAGTGCTTTGTTTGTTATGTGGTTTTTCCCTGGCTTTCTCTACTCTTGCTCTTCTAAAAAACACCTGCCTCTTACAGATCTGGAATCTGCTCTGCAGCATGCAGGACACATGGCTTGCAGCACTGCCTAGGAAAGCCTGCCTAAAGCCTTGAAAGCATTATGGTAATCCTAGAACTCAGCAGCGTATAATGCAGCTTTGTGGTAACAACTCCATGGCAGCTATAATGATTGTGCTTACAGGACTGTACTTCAGCAAAATAAGCTGGTTAGTTGTGTGCTAAGTGTGATACAGCAAGCACTCCGTTACAGGTGCTGCTGCCTTTTGTTTTTAAAGGTGAACAATTCCCAAGGCAGAAGTAGGTTTTATAACAATAACCACACTTGACGCATCTTTTTCTTTTTTTCTTATAAAACAAACAAAATCACCATGAAATACTCTCAGTAATTACAGATATTATTGTGAGTCAAAAGCAAAACAGAAGCTCCTCATGCATCACTTCCAGATCCTTTTCCCCAATCTGTGGGCTGGAGGCAGAAGTTTACCATCTACCCTCAAGGGAGGGGAAAAAGGAGCAGAACATTTTTAAGAGCTGTCTTTAAAGTGTGAGTGTGTGTGAAAAAAATCATCACTACAAACCTAAAATGAAGTTACTCTTTAAAAACTTCTAGACTAAAATAACAAGGGACACTAAAAGTCCTGAAAAGAGATGGTAACTCAGTTGCTTAAGGTGATACAAATGGCTAGAGGATGCTGATAGCATGAAGAAATCAGACTAAGCCCTTCTCATCTATAGTCACAGCTCTTCATCAAGTCACAACACATCACACTACTACCACTCCCCCTCCTCATCACATTGAAAAAATAAAACCCACCTCTAATGCTTTTAATGCTACTCAGGTTTGTTGAAAAATAAAGTTTCATTTGGCTGTCATTGCTACTTTGTGTCTAGCTTGGCCATTTCTTGCACATAGATGCCAATACTTTCACTGTCGAAGAGCAGAAAGTAAATGTTCTTCAAGGAGGAAGAGTTGGTGCCGTCAAAATGGGTGGAAATAGCTCTTAGAGTCACCTGGGCTGCCGTCTGTTTTGGGAAGCAGTTTCTATGTGGTAGGGGAAGAAAACAGAACAAGTGAGTGTCAGTCACCTGTGCAAGCATTATGCACACGTGATGCTGAAAGGAACAAGCCATAGCTGTACCAACTACAGGCAGATAGTCCCATCTCCAGTTTTGCTGTGTGTAAATCCTAGAAGAAAGCCCAAGGTTTTGATAGCAGTATTCATCTGCTGCTCTATTAGTTTCCTTGCTGTCACTGTTACTCTCTTCTTTTGCTTCTACTTTCTATAATAACACAAAGATTTTTAGTGCCCTTGCTTAGAATTAAACTTTTCCATGCTGTGCTGGGCAGGGATGCCCAGGGATGATTAATTTTTAATCAAGGGATGATTATTTTTTAGTTGGAAATTGAAAAACAGAAATACATCAACTACGTAGCTGACTTCCTCATGCTGTCATTAAAAACACTTTGGTTGAGACTTCAGTGAAAATAGTTGAAATATAACCCCAAGCCAAATTAAGGCCAAGTCTCTTTAATTCATTCATTTTGATGGTAATAATTTCTAACCTACAATTTGAAAAGCTAGAAGCTACCAGTCTCTACAGTAAGTGAACTTTTCAACTGTGTTGACATCTCTTGGGCCACCTGGCCCGCATCCTTGAGATTCAAATTTCTTGGCAGCAGCATTTTTTCCTTATTCAAGTATTTCCTTATACTCCTTATTCAAGATGTCCTGGGTTCAGCAGTAGCAGTCATTTTTCTCCTTCTTAGTAGCTGGTGAACCCAGGACACAAGTCACAAAACCATTCAGCTGCAACACAGTTCCTTTGTCCTCATCTCCACACAAGGCATCTGCACGACAGTGTATTGCAAAGAGCACAGATACTACGAAGTGCTTTGCACAGAATCATAGAATCAGCTAGGTTGGGAAAGACCTTTAAGATCATCAGATACAACCATTACCCCATGACTACCAAGACCACCAACCACTAAAACATGACACCAAGGGCCTCATCTACACGGTTTGTGAACCCTTCCAGGGACAGTGATTCCACCACTGCCCTAAGCACCCTGTTCCAATGCCTGATCAACCTCTCAGTGAAGAAATTTTTCCTAATATACAATCTAAACCTCCCCTGGTGCAGCTTGAGGCTGTTACCTCCTGTCCCATCGCTTGTTACTTGGGAGAAGAGACAGACCCCCAGCTCACTGCAACCTCCTTTCAGGCAGTTGTAGAGAGCGATAAAGTCCCCCCCGATCCTTCTCTTCTCCAGACTAAACAACCCCAGTTCCCTCAGCCACTCCTCAACAAGACTTGTGCTCCAGGCCCTTCACCAGCTTCGTTGCCCTTCTCTGGACCTGCTCCAGCACCTCAATGTCGTTCTCATAGTGAGGAGCCCAGAACTGAACACAGTATTTGAGGTGCAGCCTCACCAGTGCTGAGCACAGGGGGATGATCACTGCCCTGGCCCTCCTGGCCACACTATTGCTGATACAGGGCAGGATGCTGCTGGCCTTCTTGGCTGCCTGGGCACAAGCTGGCTCATTTTCAGCTGTCAGTCAGCACCCCCAGGTCCTTTTCAGTAGATCAGCTTTCCAGCCACTCTGCCCCAAGCCTGTAGCATTCCATGAGATTCTTGTGGCCTAAGTGCAGGATCCATCACTTTGCCTTGTTGAACCTCATACCATTGGCCACAGCCCATCAATCCAGCTTTCTGTAGACCTTCCTACCCTCCAGCAGATCAGCACTCCCACCCAACTCAATGTCATCTGTGAATTTACTGAGGGTGCACTTAATCTGCGCATGCAGGTCATCAATGATGATATTAAACAATACTGGCCCTAACATATCAATAAGGTGAGGGACACCACTAGTGACTGGTTGCCAACTAGATGGGACACCATACACCACCACTCTTTGGGTCGGCCATCCAGCCGGTTTTCAACCCAGTGAAGAATACATCTATTCAGGGCATGAGCAGCAATTTCTCCAGGAGAACACTGTGGGAGACAGTGTCAAATGCTTTAGTGAAGTCCAAATAGACAATGTCCACAGCCTCTCCCTTATCAACCAGGTGGGTCATCTTATCACAGAAAGAGATCAAATTGGTCAAGCAGGACCTGCCCTTCATTAACCCATTATGATCATCTGCTCCGTGACCTTCCCCAGCACTGAGATAAGGCTGACAAGCCTGTAGTTTCCAGGGTCCTTCCTTCCTGCCCTTTTTATAGAGAGGCATATCTCTTTACGTAAAATTCTGACTGCTATAATACTGGACAGAATTTCAAGAACTGCTCTACAGTTTGAACTTGATGCTCATCTAATGAAATACTCTGCATTACAGTATGCTCACACTTAGGAAGGTCTCCACATCGTTCTTCCTGTCTTAACACTAAACAAATTTATTGAGTTAGAAAGCACCACTTCCTGAAGTGATCCATGTGTGTGTCTGCCACTGACATCTGGAGAGAAGGACACACTCCTGCACCGCCTGCTGGAGCTTCTCTGCTGGCTGACAATGCTTGTAACAGTTTTGCTGATTCTGTACAACACTAAAGAGTGTCAATGCAGTGCTTACTACGTGAGCATGTAGGAAGCCACGTACCTTGAAGGGCCAGGATGAGACTTTACTGGGACATACGGAATTGTTTGAAGGTGAGTTAAGACACAGCTGAGGTTTCAGACAGGTCTTTGTGTGTAACTCTGCTGGCTGTTCTTGAGTTTAATGCCTCCTATTTAGATTCTACTGCATGATAATGCTCCAGAAAAAGTTCGATCCATGTCCCAAAAAACTGGCCAGCACAACCTAGCCCATGTCCTTCCTCTGAGGCAGGATTACACATAACTTTTCTGATCCTGAAATAAGTTTGTCTGACCTATACTTAAAGATCTTCAGTTATGGGTCTACATCAGAATAAATGGATAAGCCATCCCAGTGCCTAACAATCCCTACACTTAAAAAATTATGGCATTGCTTTTAATAGCATCCAGAGCAGCCTTTGCAGTGTTTTTTCACCACTGTCGTGTGCATTTGGTTGTTTTTTTTTTTCTAAGGTTAGTACCACTGACTTCTAACTCATTTTTATGCTAGTGATTTCAGATACTTATCATACTTGTGTGTGTGTATTGCAATATATATATTAAAAAACATCCAAAAAAGAGCTTGTAAACTAGTCAACAATAACTGCCTTATCCATATTCAGTGTAATCCAAATGAGTATTAGCAAACGTATTTTCCTATATTTTTAGTCTCTGGACAGCATCTGCACCAGCCCAGCCAGTATGCCTTTCTGGCAGCAAGCTATCAAGCTCTCAAAAAGGACTTTTTGAAAATGTTTTTCAGTTAATTTATATCTGCTTCACAGCACAAGTAATTTCATCTAAACTGCATTTCTCTACTTTTTACTGACAAGCTCATAAAGGTGAAAAGTCCTGGCAAAATCGAGTATCCTAACAAAACCAGCATTTTGTGATTCTGTGATTTCTTGTGCAGACATGTAGGTGGAATAATATGACAGCAAAACCATTAAGTATTCTTTGAAAAACTGCCTTTTTTCAGATAATTTTAAGGTTCTTTGATAAAGTGTAAACCAGCAGCACTTGGTAAGACTTACTCTATTTTCAGTTAGCATGAGTAATTTTAAGAGCAACAGAGAGTGAAATAGAACTAAGCAGCAGAAGGATCTGTGCTAAGACTAATGGTCCAAGACTGGATTATTCTTAGATATTGCTCATAGGAGACATGAGATCCATACAGACTAATTCTAGTGGCATTTAAAACTATAGATCAGTTTTGAAAGCTGAACTTTATTATTAAAGAGCTGTAAAACCATTTATCACATTTTGCTTTGACAACATTATAAAAAAACACGTGTATGAAGGAAGACAAAGCATTAAAAATTGCACTGCCCCCTATTTATTCTTTTATCCCAATCCATAAAAATATTATTATGACTTGTAAAATATCTCCATAAAAATCACATTTTCACCTCCTGTGTATTCAGTGATGTGTGGTGATTTCACTGGTCAAAATGCAGTTTTACTTTCATTTGATTCATTACAGGGCCAACACAACTGCACTATACTACATACTCTAATCTTTGGGCATTACTAACAAAATCAGTAGTTGCATTTCAAATGAAATATAACTGTGTGAACTACAATATGAAATAACAAATTCTGCAGCTAGCAGGGCTTGTGTAAGTTTTCTTGTGATCAGAGACCAAGCAAGATTAACAAAGTGTCAGCATAAAATAAATAAATAAATAAATAAATAAATAAATGCTTTGGATTTCTTAGTCAAGAACATTTTATTTGCCAGTTACTGAGAAAGAAATGTGTAATTTCATATCTGGTTTCATAGCTGACTTTTTAAAGCAGAACTCTATTTGAGAAACATTTTCTCAAAGAGAAGGTTTTCTATGTAAATAAAACATCGTGTATGACTAGTCTGTTTAATATATATCCTTAGGATGACTTAAGTGAACACCCCACATTTACCTAGCACAGGCTGCATCACTGTTATTTGCCTTCAGTATTACACTGATGTAAACTTGCTAGTACAAATGTAGTTTTAGTAAGATTCCCCACAGCAAAATGAAGGAACATAAAAACATAGGTGGTGCAGGCCCCTAGTAGAAGAATGAAAATTACTGCCCAACAATAGAAAACACAGCAAGTCTACCCAGCTCTCCTGTGGGTTAGCTGATTTCTATAAAAGCTTTCTGGTCATTCCTTGCAAACACTGCACTTCAAGCTCCTCTAATCTGGAGAAGTATGGTGTCAGACAGCAACCTGCAAGCAGCCCTCTCTGAAGGCCACAGTCCAGAGGGTTACCTCTTCATCACAGTAGCAGCTCTGACAGTGAATTATACCATTGCTACCTGATACAGAATCCTCCTATGCAGAAAAAGTCATACCTGCCACTGGGAAACGGGGGGAAAGCCACGGACTTCAACTTCTTGTCTTCTGCGGCTGTTAAGCAGTTCTTTATAGTCTCTTCAAGCTGCTCTTCACACTTGTCTGAGCCCCACTGTGGGATGTGACAGTGGATGACAAACTTTGCTGCTAGGCCGCTAGACTGAGTAAGTGCAGCTAACACAAATGAAAATATAACATTTAGTTTTGAATAGAAACCACCCTGCAATGACCTCTCAATCCAACGTACTTTCCTAATTACATCACTTCTCCAAAGAAATACATTAGAAATTAAAATATGCCACAATGCTCACTTGTAATCATAATGTGACTGTCTCATCATTACTTTTGTGATCACTTATTATTTCTTTGAAGACCAAAGAACACAGGGTTCATTTGGTTAACACACAGTTAATAATATTTTTTAGCTTTCTCATTAAGCATGACCTCTGGATTTGTTTTATGCAATGTATCAAAATCTTTCACTGAACACGGTAACACTGATCCCCCAGCAGGCATTTCTGCAGTGCTGTCACACCCTTATCTGAATGCTTTTAACAAATACCTGCATCAACATTACAGCTCCAGAGTGTTAGGAAGTAATACTCAGACCCACTTCACAGTTGGGTAATTTCAGACAACAACATGAAAAACCAAAGATGTTTACTGAAAGTCTCCATCAGTTATGAACAATTAGGAAGCTAGATTAATTTTTCAGAAAGCCTAATATGTTTGCTTTTGTTGCAATTGTGACCGTTAGCACTTCTGGAAATGTAGGTCTTGGGAATCCCAGGTTAAACACCCCAAAATTAGCTGTGTAATTAAAGTCTAAGGACGAAAAACTTGGGGTTTATTCACTTGTCCACCATCACCCAGGAATTCTGTGTCAGGCACAGAGGAATTCTGGCTAATGCTTCACTGTGTGCTACTGAAATTTCAACCGAAGAGAAACATCAGGCCTTTACCAATAGGAAGCAAATTGACTGAAAACAACACAGGTATCCTGTGAGCAGCACTTGAATTCAAGCCCACTGACCAGAGCACAAGTGTTTGCAGCAGACCTGCAGTGATTAACAACCATTTATTATCACTTGCCCCCCCCCGCCCAGAACAGAAGGGATAATTTCAAATACAGTAACAAAACGTAGTGCTAGAGAGAGTACATTTTCCTATCTATTAAACTAAGATTACCTTCCTTCCTGGGACTGCCTTAATAGCGTAACAGGAATCTATTACCCAGTTAGGTAGTGATTTTGACAGAGAAAAGTAGTTTACTTTGATGTTGAATACAAAAGTGAAACAAAGTATCTTGTACAAAAATTTCCCTGTCATTTGAGACTATAAAACTAGGCTACTCACTTAGGAAATTTCCAAAACTACACTATTTAAAGCATGTAGTTTCTTGAGTAGAGATACCAAGCCAGATAAGGCACTAGAAGATACACTGTAACTTCTTTCACCTGCCTCCCAGCCACCTTCAACACCTTTATTTTGTTTTAACTGCTTTGATTTGTCCACAAAGGAAGGAGGAAGGTGTATAATCTCAAGTCCCAAACGATGCACTGCTACAGATGTGATAAATATTTGAAGGGAGCTCTTCGGTAATTTGTATTTCTGTAATGTAGCTGTAGTGCCTGGGAGAAGTGCTGCAATTGCTCTTCCAAAAACCATGCCAGTTTCAAAGATCGTATCACATCTTTATTTGCTTTTGAAGTAAGTTAATTATTTGGATTATAATCAAATATGCATAAAGCAAAGTAATTTATAAACTACCGCTGTTCTTATAGCTCATATATTAGGCTGAGAGCCGTTTCTGATTGTCACTACAGAATGCAGAATGAACAGGACAGGAAAGATGGCACATCTGTGGCAGCACAAGTTTTCCTTAAATTTTGGACTCCCACAGACAGAAACTGCCTAAGATAAAATAATCAATCTGCTGTAACTTATGGTAGCGCCTAGAAGCCCAAAGACAGAATCTGCACAGGACACAGGAATCCAACTCTTCCCTCCCACCAGGCACACTGTCTGTATCAGCAAGAGCTTCGAAACAGAAACATTTACATCACATAAGCAAAAGCACATATATAGTCAAGGACAGATCAGAACGTCCAGACAAAAGAACATGTGAAATAAGCTGTTTCCAAAAGAGAGAGTACTGTTCTTTTTACCTTCAGCAACTTCCAAAGGTCCTTGAGATTTGCGAAGCTCTTTCACTGTTTCTAAAAACTCCTTCCCTCCAGCCTTTTCCAATGCCTTGCCTGCAAGGACACAGAGCAAAAGGCCTTGGCTTCAAAGTATCAAAGTGAGAAAAACAACTCTATTTAAAGGAAGAACACTGCACACACATTATCCTATTTTCCCTCTACCAGCAGCAGCTGTTATTTATACTTACCACTCTGGCCAGCCATAGATGAAGTTTACTTTTTAACTGGTTTTGAAAACCCCTGTATGTTATTACTGGAAATCACTTAATATAGTTATCTGTAAGAAGACTATCTTACTCTGACTTACGGCTAAAACAGTGAAGAAAGGGGTGGTTTTTTTCAGCCTCCAAAATCAACTCAATATACACACCCTACTACTTTCTGAAATAAACACAACTGGGATGCCACTGAATGTCTTGATGACTGACTGTATGAAACACTGTTCTAAAAGCCTGCTACTAGATTCTGTGCCTCTCTCTGCAACTCACTGAATATCCTTTTTACTTCCTATTGCTTCAATTTCCGTATTTGTACACCAACAGTAATAGTATTTCATTATTTCACATGAGCAGTATGAGGTTTTGTGCACATTTCTAAAGTATGTAAAATCCTACAATGAAACACATAATTAGAAGTGTTATTAGTATCTAATTTTTGACATGGAATTTTCAGAGGCAAATATAAAAATAATCCAATAAAGACCACAGTAATTATTATTTACACCTTTGCTGCTCATGTGCTTCAACAAATTATCTGTGTTTTGATTGCTGTAAGGCATCATTAAAAATAGATAAATTAGTGATTAGCCTGTTATACCTAGTCAGATCCAGCCTCATTTTCAGAAGTGCTGTAAGTGATATTTTATGGCCTGGGGAAGACTCAGGATGGGATCTCAGCAGGCAGCTAGTAGACCAGCTACTGTTCCAACTCTAGATCTGTTTTTTCTGCTTGTAGCAAAGCCTCACCTATTTCCTCCTTGAGGTCTATTTCAGCAGTTGTAGGGTGAACAATGCCTTCTACTTTCATGGAGCCAATATGGCTGATGTCACTCTGTGTCAAAGAAAGCTGTAAAATAATACAGGGGAGTAAAAAACAAAAGTAATGTTAGCGTGAAATCATTTTCATACAAAAACACTAAAATGAAAGAAGGCTGGATTCAGTCTTTCAGAGATCAGCAGTTTTATCATGGTCAGTATGTGCTATTCTGATTTTTAGCCACTAATTAATTAATTTTTACACCGCTTATTTTGCAATATGCCCACAGGAGGAGTAGCATAGGAGGGCATCCAGAGGAAGTGTCTGCTAGAAAAATTCATGCTCTAGCCTAACACTTTGAAAAGAAAAGGGGAACTCTGGAAATGCTTTTGCTTCAAGAAAAAAATAGTAATATTAAAAAGCTTTTCTCCTGTCAAAACATTTGCCCCCAGTAAATTACTGTTGGGGGCTCAGAAGAAGGGCTAACCACTATCCTGATCTATAATGGCTTTGCAACCCAAGTAATGAATTAGCCTTTCAGTTCCTGGCATAAATAAGGAATGCTTTACCCACCCAAGCATGTGGATATAGTAACTGATAAAAATAATGAGTAAGACTTTGCAGCTGCTAAACATGTGCCCAGCACACCTCACTTCTTCCAAGGTACACTGCAGTACTTAAATCCTAACCAGCACAATAAGAGCTGCCCATTTTAGAGAAGAACGTACACAGATTTTAGAGGAACTTAGGACAGAACTGAACAGAGGAGATCCAAGCTTTGTCTACCTGGCCAGATAACTGCTTTTAGCAATCTTCTGGATTTAGTATGTATCTGGCACATTCTAGACCACTGCTTCAGCAAAAGAATTCAGTCCACCTGATCCCATAAGCTCTGCTTCATACAACAGGGTAGACATCAGTAGAGGGGGCTTATAGAAGCAGTTTCCAGAAAAATACTTTTTCCAGATGACCTTACTATTGGAAATAATAATGATATTAAAAAATCTTGACTATACCTCCATAGTTAAATCTGTAAGAAAAGGTCCAGTTTCATTCAGAGGGTCCAAAAACTTAAAGAAGGCAAAAATCCCTCTTCTTTTTGGTGAGAACAGAGGAAAACCAAACAAAACAAAGGGATATATGGTAGGCTGGACACCAACGACATGCAGGCGTTTTGGTGGGGCAGTTTTGTAATTCTGACTAAGTAAGGTGTCCCTGTCTGTGCTGAGATGGAGAAGTAGGCATGCCCTGCAGCTCTGGCGAGGTTCTCAATTTGGACTTGAATTTGAGAGAGTAGCACCCCGCAGCCCACTTTCAGATGGAGCTCCTGGGCTTCTGGCACAAACCAACGTGTGGAAGTTCTGGGTGATCCTGGGACCTGGGCCAGAAATACTCTTTTATAAATAATCAATTTGGGACCGCTAAGGGAGAATGTAGAGGTTTGTACTGGTGTTATATCAAAACCATACTTCTATTTATGCTAGGCTCCATTGCTGTGATCTAAATCTGTTACAACTTTGTATTACCTTTTGTCCTGGCACAAGACTCTTGGAGGACAAGATAGTGAAGCCATCCCCAGGTCCATCTTCAGATGTTGAATTTGAAGCTCCTTCTTTTTCATTGTCCTTTTGTTTGTTCTATTTGAAGGAATTAAAAAACAAGAACTCTCAAAGGGAAAAAATAATAAAAACCAACATTTGCCATTATTCAGAAATTGATAGATTTTATCAGTTACTATACATCTCATCTTTTTGGATCAATATATTATTTACAGCCTTTTAATCCCCTAAGACTATGTAACAACAGATCTTTCCTATTTATATAATGCTAAAACATCAGTGGCTCATCTGAGGTACTACATACGTTTGTAGTTGCATTAGGAGTCAGTGCATCCACATCCATCTGCAATTTTATTAACAATTAAGGTTTTATTTATGGGTGGGGGTGTGCTGCTTTATTTTTGCTGTTAACAGAGCAGAGCTTGTACTAAATCAAACTTAGTAATTTAGTAACCCACTCAAATGGTCCTATCTGAAGGGAAAAAAAATAGCTTCATGGTCTAAAAACCCCCATAAGTTTCAGCTAATAAATCACAGATCTGAATCCATATTGACAGGAGCAAGCCATCATACCTACATACAAGCATGACAAAAATGACTAAACAAAATAACTAATAACTGAACTTTGAATGCAAAATCCCATTTGTGGGACATACCCCTTCATGCAGGCTGGCTCCAGGAATAACAAATCTGCTTCTACCAGGACTGCAGAAACATCACACATCTCTCAGTATTTGCTTTAAAGTATGTTAGGAAGCTAACTCTTCTTAGCAAGTTCCCAGTAGTGCAGTGCACAATTCAAATTAAGGTGGTAGCCGAGATCAATACACAGGCACATCCTATTAAGCAACTCTGTTTCCTTTTTAAAAGTTGTTTCTGGATATTCTCAGCTATGGAAATGTATTAAAGCCTAGAGGCATTCAGAAAGATATGCTTAACACAAGTCTGAAAATCTTAGGTCAAAGCTTAATATCATTTAGTCCTACCTAATTAAAACAGGAGTGTTTTAAGATGCATGCACTGGAGGACTGATCTGATTACTGCTTTACCAAATTAAACCGATTTGTATGGTGACAGAGCATTAGCAATTGTGAGGGAAGGTGCAGTGGTCAAGTTCTGATTAATTTCTTCTTACAACTCTTTTTAAACAACATGAACAACAGCACACATAAACAACAAAACACATAAACGAAGAGCCTGTCAAAATGACATTTATGTACCATGTTGAGGCAAGCTCTCTGGATAGTGAAAAATCTTCAACAGCAACCCAGTAATTGTACAAGGCTGAAGGTGTGACATGTCTCAAGTAGAAAATACTTTAAAATACAGCTTCCTTTGTTTAAACACTAGAGTTCACTGCCACACAGTGTGGAGATGAAAAGAGTCTAAACTGTTATCAAGAAAGTATCGCAAAGGGTGACATGCAAAATCTAAAATGTTCCCCCCAAAGCTTTAAAAGCTTTTATTATGAAAATTGATTAAAATACTGTGTTTGCTTTTCTTTCTAAAATTTAGAGGAAAAATAACCCTGTTGTGTCTATTATCAACTCCTAACTCCTACCTCCCATTTCTAGCTGTTCCAAACACTGCTGAAGCACTAACTTATTCCTCCTAATAATCTTAGTCAGTTTTGATCCACTTCCTCTCCCACACCTCTGAAATCCCACATCTGCTTCATGCTTACCTTTTTGGGTGTCCGGGCCTTGGTAGATTTTGCCTTCTTCCCACTCTTTTTGTTCACTATCGTTTTCCTTCCCTTCTTCTCAGGAGCAGGTGAAAGGATGGTCTCAGATTTGCCTTTGGCACCCCGTTTCTTGGCTAGAAGCTCTGGCTGAATTCTGGGCAGGACGCCTCCACTTGCAATAGTCACACCTTTGAGCAACTGCAAGGACAAGCAGCACATTACAGATTCTCTTAGCTGGCACTCAAGCTATTTTTACTGACTACATTACACATACGCAAGTAGACCCCACACTTCCTACAGCATTGCACCTTGCCCCTTTATCATGAAGAAAACAAACAAAAATCATTAAGGGGAAAATCCACAACTACAAAACCTGGCAGTGATGGTGAGGTCAGACAGAACATCACTGAGAACTCCATTACTTCACTGGTCTCTCTTCCACTGCTAGGTTTTCTGCATACCTGTCTTCAGTTCCTCACACACAGTGAGTGAAGGTAAGAGAAGACAAGTGCCTGCAGGCTACTTTAAAAACAAAACAACCCCACCAAACAAACAACCCCCCCAAAAGCCATGTTTGCACCACAGTCCTGCCCAAAGGACTGGTTGTAGATCCCTTTGGTAGGAAAACAGATTCAGTGAAAGCAAGCATGAGTCTCAAGAACCTGCTTTGCAAAGGTGAACAACAGGAATGGGCTGGGATATTACACAGTGGACAAAGTCTGGCTAACTCCTAATGGACACCGCTAGATCTAGCCCCCACTTTAGAGGCCAGTGACCAGTGCCTCAGAGCAGGGAGCTAGTAGTGTTAGCATGCTTTTCCCTCTCTCTTGGCCTCTGTTTTGACTTTTCACTCCCTCTGACTGGGAACAGGGCTGGATGACTTCATGGGCACCATATTTTCATTATTTAAAGCAGTCAAATAAAGTGCAGGAATCTTTTAGGTGTGAATGATGTCATACATCTTCACATGAGACCAAACAAGAAGACATACTTTGATGCTGATGGAACCTTTCCAGTGTCCCTGAATGCTGCAATTCACAGCCCATGCCATGATCTCTTGTCTCAGTTAAGTTCAGCAGAAGTGATCTGCAGAGTCAAGAGCACTGTGAACCACAATCTGGTTGCTAATGGGGCTTGGGCATACAGACAGGGAGGCAGCCCTGGAGGGAGCAGTAGTGAGTGAGTGGGCCAGATCCCTACCCAAGATGGGCCTCTCAGCCAACATAACAAAACACACATTTCTACAACTTTTGAGAAAAGGTCTTCCATATGGCACATCTTCTTTAAGTATTGAATCTCCCAGAGGAAAAAAGGAAGCATCAAGTCCACCCACTTCAGCAGGACTCACAGGCTACAAAAGAAGCAAAATCTGTATCTGAGAATTTAAGATATCAGAAAACCTTTTTTTTGTCTGCTTTTACTGAAGTAGGCACAATCTTGTTGTCTTCTGGTACAATAATTGTGTTCTTATTTATGTGTCAGACTAAACTGTTTCTAAACTTCCATGATACGAGATTCATTAATGCCACAGCACTGAAACGTAAACAGGTACCTGATTCAGTTCCTCATCATTTGCAACTGCCAGGAGGATGTGTCTGGGGGCAATTCTTCCTTTCTTGTTGTCTCGTGCTGCATTTCCTGCTAATTCTAGAATTTCAGCTGTAAACACATTGAGATAAAAATAAGTAACAAAAATGCAGCTTAGGTACACCCTGTATACATATTTTACATTCCTTCTTCATACCCATTTGCCTTTGCAGGGGTATTTCTTGTTTTAAATGGTCTTTGCTACAGAAAGGCAGAGACCAAACCACACTCCATATATTTGTAAATTGAGGTAAAATCATTTGTCCTTCCTAATTCCCTAAAGGATAGCTAGCAGAAAACATGCTAAGGTCACAGAACCTTTTACAAGTGCCAAGTTAGAAAAAAAAAATAAAATCACCCTATAAAAATGTACATCAGCAGTCCACAATAGAGCAATACACTGTAAACAATAAAAGAGTAAAGCGTGCAGTGAAACCCGAAACCTAGTACAGACAGTTCTGACAAAACAGCAAGGATTCTCAGGACCAGGTAAGACAAAGACTGAGGTGCATTTAAGAAAGTACTTGGAAAGCCAACAAACCAGCCAGACAATGCTGCTATTCTGCATTAAAGGGCATTGAAAATCTGTGAGAAGCTTCATTTCAGAACAAGATATAAGAGGTTTGACTTAGATGCAAGCAGAAACAACGTAAAAGCTTCAGAACATGAAGTACTGGTAGAAAGTTTCTTCTACGCCTCTGGGCACAGGAAGTCACTTCAAAAGTATGTTCTCTGAATTTGCAGTAATATTTATTCTGTGATTACAGTCGCTGAGCTTTTTCTAATCGTTATAGAGGAAACACAGACACATCTTTCTGAGTTTATTTGATCTGTAGCAGTATGATCATTAACTTACATAGTCTGGCTCCTACGCAGAAGTTATTTGTCATGTAAGAACTCTACTGAAACATTGAGAAGGAAGGAGAAGCAAATGTTTTGCTCCAAATAATCATAAAAATATTATTCACACCTTCTTTCATTTTAAAAGTATCCAGTGTCCCTGTCCTCTGGTTTTGGGGTTTGTATTTACATAACAGGGATAAGAAAATTACAGCCCATCAGTGTCCTTTTAATGATATCTCACTCCTTTTTATTAAGCTAAAAAAGAACTGTACCTATTCTTAAAAAAAACTTTAATGAAAAATCTAGCTGAAATCTACATAATGCTCTCTGGCTAAAATTCAAAGGATTCACTATGAGGTTTAGCTCTCAATTCATACAAGCTTTCAATTTCATTCAGTTAGAATGACAAAAGTACATACTTGTCACCCAGTTTTCAGTACTACACAGAATTATGTATTTAACTGAATGTTGAAGACGTAAAAGCCAGTTTTTAAAATCATGTGCATATTCGTGGTGAATTATTTAAGAAACAGCCAGAGTCTGTTGAAAATTTGAATAATTATTCATGCCAAATTTCTAAGAAACATTATCAAATTTGCAAAGGCAAGCATTTAAATGTTACAAAATAACAGAACTGTGGTTATGATAGCTAGGGCACTGCCATGAGGAAAAAGCAGTGTATGATCGGACAGTCAGAAACAGTATCGCATCCCAAACACACCCTCTGCCTACATTAAAAGTTAGGGCAGCAACCTCGGCTCTAGCATTTCGTAACTCTGAAGCATCTGACTTGGACTTCAAAGGAGGAGACTGAACAGAGATCCTGCATAAGCCACCTATATTCACCCCAGTGGTGCTGCAGAGCTGGAAGTTTCAGACCTTTTTCCCAGACCTCTGCCAGTGGAGCTAATACAGCAGCAGACAACAGGCACAGATTGCCATCCATTGTGCAGACCAGCATAAAGCAAGAAAAGAGATCCAGACTTCTCCAGTGTATTTTGCAGGTGTGTGCTGATAGCAGAGGAAAATTGCATCATGGAAATAAAAAGGCGACACATACTTACCTGTGCGGTAACTGAAGTTCTTTCAGATGTGCCAAAAACACGCACATCCTGCTACCTGTGTGCTCACCCCAGTTCCCCAGGTTCTGGGTCCTTTGGCCAGCAGCATCCTGATGGTGCTCTCAAATGTCCTCTGCCTAATGTTAAGAGCAAAAAACGCAGAACACTCAAATGCCAGCCATCTACCACAGGACACCAGAAAGAAGGGAATCCAAGGCAGAGGTGATGTATGGCAGATTGTGGAATATACCTGTAACTTATCAAAAGATGCCAATTGTTTGCATAGGTGAATAATTGCCTTACTTCCCTCAAATGACTGTTTATATGCATACTTTTCTGATGCTGGAGTCAGGGACTTAACAGTCTTAAAAATACAAAATCGCACTTGCAAAATTCAACATCAAATCTGGAGGGTTCAGTTTTCACAGCCTCTGCTGGTAATCACAGATCCCTAAAGAAACTGCTTTACATTTCAAGTAGCTCCAGCTGAGGCTACCTACACTCATATGTAAGAATATATAAGAATGTGTAAGAATATAGGTCCTACAATAAATTTCTGTACTATATCAAGCTATCTTGAAATCAGGCATCTTGATATTCTCAGACATGGTTTTACTTTATATGCTTTTAGCAGCAGGCATTAAAAACTAAAATAAAATTTGAAAGTAATCTTACTTGCATCAAGATTCAAAATGCAGAAAAATGCCTTCCACACTGGAAGCATAACTTCAAGTTCAGACATCTTAAATGAGATGGTTACAAAAAAAATAGCTCACCATATACACTCCACAGTTTAGCTGGGCCTCAGGTAGACATCAAATGCTGGTCAACAGGGTAATACCCAGAACTATTCACTGTCTCTATGCAACACATGGCATTTTAAAAGGAGCCTTTCTTCCGATTGATAAGCACCTGGGACCATGGAAGAGCATAAATGTATGCCAGGTATCCCAAGCAGCAGCCAAGCTATTGACCTGAATGAGATTACAATTTGCTATCCTGTGACATACAAAAAAACCAGAGGTTTCTTTAGCTGATGGATCAACCGATTTGGCAGTGTCTGGGAACTAAAAGCACCCTAGCCAGGCTGAAGATATTTGTTCAGCTTAGCTCTGCCTGCTTTTGTGAAGTACTCAGCTGAACTGATAAGAAAGGTGCACGCGAACTACTGATAGCAGAATTGGAAAGATTGCAGACAGGTTATTTTCCAGTTCTCCTTCATGTTAAATTGTAACAGTTCCTGTTACGCTATCACATACAAATCTACCAGTAATACCTTTGCTATGAAAAGACAGCAAAGGTATTTTGTCCTTTGTCCTCCATTTGCAAGTGGAAAAGTATTTGCTTGCTTTGTCTCTTGATGGCAGATGACCACAACAGAAGAGTATAGCAGTTGATGCCCTTTGAAGTAGGAAGTATTTGCAGGTGTTGTGTTCTGCCCTAATTTAGAGAAGATGGCTTACCACTGACACCTTCCATGAGTTCCTCTGACCAGCACACCATTCATATGTCTTCTGCTTCCTAATCAAGAGCCATATGCATTCTTTGCCTACGTTTTGGGAAGGTGCATTATGGGACACATGCAGTTGATGTTTGATTTAGATGATGATGATTGCAGTTACCCCCATGCACATGCAGAGCATAGCCTGGCATGCATCTGTTGCGAACTCCGTAAATCCAATGGGTTTGAGGCCCGTTTTTCATGGAGTTTTAACTCTGAAGTCCGTGGAGCCCAACACTGTTCCAGCAAACACAACCTTCTGGATAGGAACTAAACTGCACATTTGCAATATGATTTTCAAGACTGAGATATAAAACAGCATAGAGAAATTCGGGGGGGGGGGGGGGGAAGCCTTAGAAGACTGATGAGATCTTCCTCACATCCTCATCAGTCAAGGTCAAAGTACCTCTTTTTGAGACACACTGTGGTAATACCTCGCATTTTAACAATGTGGTTGCTAAGCCAAAGCCCAGATTTGGCATTGATAATGGCTTTGGTGCTCCCACAATCAATTCTGCATACAAGGGGAAAAAATGGGGATCTAGTGGCTCATGACAAAGAACTTGTACATAAGCCAAGAGGCAGTCTGAACCACGTCGCATGCTGAATAAAGATGCTCAAGACATACATGCACCACCAGATGACGCTAGTCAAAAGACTCAGTGCTTCATGGCAACACAACTATGGGCCATCAACTGACCACATGCACAGCTGATAGCTCACATGAGAATTGCTGGACCATGCTAGGCCCTGGATGTATTCAATCAGAGAGCTCTGGTCCTGTTTGACCCTTCCAGCCTCATACACCCAGCCATGACTTGCTTTCCCAGCCCCATAGCCTATTCTCCTTTCCTTGACAATCCACACCTGAAACGTCTATCTTAGTTGCCCTTCCTGGACAGTCTCAATTTCTCCTATCTACTCTTCTTCTAGTAATACTCAAGCTCAATCTTCCTTTCTAGGCTCTTCATTTTCAGCATGCTCTCCATTCAGTCCTTCACCTATGCCCTATTTTATCAACGTACCCTCCAGCATCCTGTCAGGATTTCTGGACACCTTCCCACTGGCCATCAGTTCAGCTTTCCATTCACGGCTCTGTCTCTAGCATCAATATTCTTTTCCCATCATCATCATCATATCCCCAGAAGGTTATGATCTGTTCTGTTTCCTTCTATCACCAGTGTGGAAGCTGTTCCCAGTCTCCTAGTTTGCTTATTAATTCCAGCCTGCCCTTCCCACCCCATGAACACTAAGTAAGATTAGCTCTTGGTAGGATTCAACTCCTTCATATTCATGTACTCCCTACCGTCAGTTCCAGACTCTCTTGCCACCCACCTGTGTGGCTTCTGTCTTCAAATCAGAAAGCTTCCTCCCCTGTCTGCCCAGTACCACTGAGACCAAAGAAAGCCCACTCTCTGCTCTGTGCTGTGACCAGGAGCAGCCAGGGACAGCACTGAGAGATAAAAGTTCTGAGCATCTGCAGCCGTGGGCTGAAGCACGCTCAGCCACTGCATGTTTCATGAGCAATCCTGTCACATGTTGGTGCTGAAAGGTTGAGGCATGCTCTGTCACTCTAAGGACACAATGAATATACAGTTTGGGCAGCCTGGGGTGCTGAGAGAGGCTGGAATGTGCTCAGGGAGGACCAAGTCTTCAGAGATTCTAGTTGTTAAAATCAGAGAAGTCTCTGCTGAGCGTAAGCAACCTGTGCTTTTTCAAAGTTACAGCTTGGCCAAAGAGAGCAGATTTCTCTGAGATGGCAAAGACTACCATTCCCCTTTCGTAAAGCATCATCTCTGCTCAAACACAGACAAGCACACAGGCATTTGGAGAAGTTCTCAGTAATGTGTTAACGCAGTAGAAAAATATGGTTTAACCTACATTTGTGAAACAGTTACAGGACCAGACGCCCTTACTCCCACCCTACCAGGTCTATGCTGAAGCAGTTCTCCTGTACGCAGGCTTCCAGCCTGAGGAGCCATTTCATAGCTGCAACTCTGTGACAGAAAACTGGAATCTGCAATAGGAAGTATCAGATAAAGCTAATAAATGTTGCCCATTTGGCATATAATACCCCTCTTGACAACAGCCTCGAAAAGCATGTTTTGTTTCTAAAGGCTTCACAAAACTAAAGACTATATTCACACAAACAGAGGGTTTGATGTTGCAACAGTGGTTTTTAATTAATCTATCCACCTTTGTAATCTTTTCAAACAAAACTCTGGGTAGAGCACAGAAACTTTGGTTTGGAAAGACCACTATTCACAAGCAATAGGTGTTTGTTCAGAAACATGACTCCGTCCTATTACAACATATACAAGGCTGGGACAAGATGGGGGTCTCTCTGTGCTGAGCCAAGCAGCTTAAAACAGCGTTCCCTTACAATTTACACAGGCCCCCAGTCCACAGATCTAGCAATTTGCTTTCCTGGTTGACTACACATTCTTTTTCTCTAAAACAAAGTGTAGGCCCACACATAATCTGCCCTTACCATATTAATGATTTAATTCAAACCGCACTTACTAGCCAGACATGAAGCCAAGATATACATTGTTCTAGTTCAGATAACAGGTAAACAATGCTGCACTGTGTGTTACAAAATAACTCAGTCTACAGTACCAAAGTGCTGCACATACTAGATGTGCTGTTGACAATTTATTATTACACCTTGCGATAATTGCCAGAGCTCAAAACAAGTATCCACAAATGTTTACACTAGAAACTCCTTTGAATGCTATGGATCCCTGTGGAGTGGGGAAAGAAAAAAAAATAATATTCCTCTACAGACTGAAAGCCAGCAGAGTCACTCTAGAGCATGTTACTCAGTTACAGAAGTTACTGCAGTTTCCAAACCCCATGCAACATTGTTTTCATCTTGCAACACCCCAACATCCCGAAGTCTGTAGGTAACTCCTAACAAACAAAACAAAAACAAGATGAAAAAATCACTGTGGTAGAACAGGGGAGCTGCAAGATGAATCCTCCATCTCCATCTTACCCCTTAAGTCCCTGCACCTCCTGAATCACACTTGCTGAGCAGCCATCTGGTGCAAACTGCAAGGTGAGCACCACCACCCTGTTGCAAACTGCAGCAAGCTCTGCAAGTCAAGGACTTCCCCAGTACAGCACAACTGCACCAGCTCCACTGAGAGACTTCTGCAGTTACAAGACTTCATTTTTAATGTACGAAACTGGATTGTGCAAATATGAGTATATGTATGTTCTTAATGAAGTAAAATGTCTTCTCCAAAACCACTTTGAGAACTAACATTTCTCTATGATCAAATAAACTTAATATCAATGTTTTTTTCTCACACAGTAAAACAATAAAATCAAATGAGTGGGAGAAACATCACCTTGGATTTTGATTCTGCTTTTCAGTGGTGTTTTATTTTAAAACCAGCTAGTTTTCTGGACTCAGCTCTTGAAGGAGATGGACGTGAACATAAATGCAATCTTAAACATTTTGTTTGCATTTCTTTCACATAAGCAATACTTTCTCACTCTAACTCCAGAAGTAACCTCACAAAAAAAAGGAAAAATAAAAATATCAATTCTCATCCTGCAATTAATCAGCAGAAACGTGGACGTTTCCATGACATGCTATTAGGCATCGTCAGAATTTTAGTTTTAATAGTGAAATTATCACTATTTCAGGTTTTGAAAGAAAATAGTGCTTTTTATTTTCTGGTAACAAGAACAGGCTTTCATGTGTTGAAAAAAAAAAAAAAAGACAGCAATGTTTACATAAAAACTGCATGCTGCTACATTGCCAGCCAGGCTCCATGCAAGCTTCTTCCATACCACTCTGGAATAACTACACTTCTGAACCACAATTTACTCAGCTAATTTCATCCAGGCTTGTGACTCCTCATTGATTCTCTAATGCACCTCAGTCTTGATCTGTAACGCCTAAATAACCTGAACCAGAATCCTCTCTGCACTGGGCTTTGTAACAGTTGGCTAAGATGCTATTTTCCACAATTAAATCAGAAACAGAGCAGATAAGATCAATCACAGGCCAGTGAAATATTACAATATACATCACAGTATATTGCAGTATATCGTATCACCATGTGACATCTGCCCCTTCCTCTGAGGTCAATTTCAGAAAGGGAGGGAAACCTCAGGGTATGTGGGAAGATTTAAACCCTGAAACACTTCTTTTATATACTTAGGCAAGCCAAATGAACAACCTCCATATTTCGTAACACTTTTAGCAGTGTTCTGCAAGGAGAAATGCAGACAGAGAAACAGAGTTTGCTCACTTAAAAAGCCCAACAGGTGCACAAGATGAGTTTGTGCTCTTTTGTTGTATCCAGGTGTATCAAAAGCCTAATTCATATCAGTTTTCTCTTGGATGGAAACTACCTAGATGTGACTCATCACTCTGCAAAGCAATAAAATATAATCCTTTCAAGCATGGTGCCTCTAAAGGAGAAAATTTCCATCCTCAGCCTCTTCAAGAAGCAAATTTATCTTCTTAGCATCTGAAGTGAATTTCAACAAATCAGTGCTGCACTTGCAGAGCCTGAGTTTCAGAAGGGCTGAACATGTTTGTATCTCATTCCATGGATATCCCTCGCTTCTTTGTGTGTGATCAGCACTTCCAGGATCAGGTTCCTGGTTTACCTGCTAGGTACTCTATGACGGCTGCCATGTAAACTGGTGCTCCAACACCTATCCGGTACTTGTATGTTCCCTTCTTTAAGTAGCGCATCATTCTCCCCACAGGGAAAATGACACCTGCCCTGCTTGAGCGTGAGAGTTTGGATATTTTCTTCTTCCCACTTCGGCCTGACATCTTGCAGCTTTGTGCTTTTCAGTTGCTGGTGATTCGTAACCCCTTGCTCCAATCCGAAAGCTGCAAGAAAAAGAAACAGGATGGGTGTTCAGCATGTGCGAAACAGCTTCATACATTATCTCGTTCTTCCAGAAGAAAAAATCCAAACCCATTCTCAATACCTGTACAAGCTGAGGCATTATTCATTAAAAGCTGGATTAACTCGAACATTTGCTGTAACTTTCAATTACTGGTCTTTCAGGGTAGCAGTATCACAGAAAAGTGGCTTGGATTATATATGTGCATAAAAAATAATAAATAATATGGACATTAAGTGAATTTAAAAAATCAAAACAACCAAACCCAAACCAACACACAAAGCCTCACCAAAACAAAACCAAATCACACCAGGGTAGATTTCCATTATGATTGTCAAGTTTAGCAAGTCATAAACGGCTGAGAAGTACTGGCACAATGGACAGCATTAAAAAAGCTGAAAACCAGACATTGTTGCCAACTCTTAAGTGAAGAAAGTTGTACTGTTTGCACAGAAGATAAACCCTACCTACTTTTTTTTTTTTACCCTACCCTAATTTTATCATAATTTGCATTTTAAATAGCCTTAAAAAAATAAAGAGAGAAAAACAAAAGAGAAAAGTTGCTTGACATCCCTGCAAGCCCTTGGGAGCAATCAACATTCAACCAAGAAACACACAGAAATCTGTGTTTCATTCTTAACCTGCTTATTAAAATCAAGTGCATATACAAAGAGTGTCACTTGTCCCATAAGAAGCCAGACATTCCCAGAAACCAGCTCATCCATAACACCCAAAGTCAAGGGTTGGTTACTAAGACAACCTAACTTGAACACTGGTTTCACTTTCGGTATCAAGGAAATAAAATCAACACAGGGCCTCAGGGAAACCCTGGTGTGTCCTTGGTCCATCAGCCAGATAATGTTTTCTTTCTGTGTGCAATATATCATCTGGGCATGATAACAAAAGTTGGGAAAGATTATACCAGTAAACCTATCAGACACTGACACCTCAAAATTGATGTTGCTCATCATCCCATTCCTGCAAACTGCCAGCCTAGAATCATGAGCAGTGGTAAAAAAGCTCATGAACTGTCACCTGCAAGTGCTGATTAAAGGCAATGGCCACTTCAAACAGACACAAGTGGAAAAAAATCCCAAGCAATCCATTAACTGCACTGATACAGAAGAAACCAGTTGTGTAGGACAGAGAGCAATTACTAGGAAGCAGTTCCATTGATTAGGACCAGCAGGTTGGGGGGCAGGGTGTGGGGGCACAGAGGGGAAGGTGGAAAGAGCTGTTGTGAAAAGGCAAACCTTGCATCAAGGTGTACAAGCAAGAGGACAGGCAGCACTAAACTGAGGAGCTGTGTCCAACCACAGATATCATACTTCAGGCATGCACAGCAATGAGAATCCAAAGGAGGGCAGTAAGAACAATCAAAAGGTGAAAAGAAGCAAGGAGACATAATAAGTCTTTAGAGATGCTGCTTCTAAGGTGGAGGGAGTAAGTGATCCCTATGAAAGTGACAGGAGAAGAGCAGGACTCTTAGAAAAGCTGTGCAGCAGGGAGGAAAGCACAGCACTGGGACCGGTCAGACAGGGAGGTGCCAGAATACTCCCACCAAGACAACTTTAAACCAGTTACAGAATGTATGTCAGAAATGGCACAGGCAGGGCTTGATCTGCCTGGGGATGGAGGCTGTACAAGGCAGTCTCTTGAGGTTCCTTCCTTCCAGCCCTCTTGCTAAATGAAATTTGCAATTTGTGATAAACCCTTTATAAATTTTCAATTTCATATTAAGCTACCAATTAACATTTATAAAGTGTCCTTTTCAGTTTGTGATAACTGACATTCAAATTAATGACTAAACGCAGACTAGGAATTAGGTTTCTAGCCATCAGAGGAGCAAACTTCTGGAACAGCCTTCTCTCATGAGTAATAGGTGCAACATTAACTCATTTTAAGGTGGAACTTAATAAGCACATGCACTAGGTTGTGATCAGATTCCTGCAATTCCAGTAGGGCAGTTTCATCACCCCAGAGTTCAGTCCAGCGCTGAAATCCCTACAGGGAGTATGTATACTACAACAAACCATGTATCAAAATAATATCAAGCTGACCTCTGATATATTTGCTCCTGTAGCACCAAATCTCAATTGCCTGTAAATCAATTGGAAAAAAAAACCCCAAAGCAATCATGAGATTAGATTACCTCCACAGAAAATACTGTAGTTGCACTTGATCTCTGTGATACAGAATCAAAACATATTTGTATAACTAAGCACACCACTCTGGGGCATGCTATTGCATTATGTAACTTGTTGTTTAATTAATCACTTCTGTTGTCTCACTGAACTTTCTACCCCTGTACACCCCTTTATTTTTCCCTTCTCTCTCACAGCAAGTCTCAGCTTTTTTCCCCGACTGCCAAGGCAACCTCTGGAATCCCAGACACTTTTCCAAACACACTGCAGCAACGGATCAGGTATGTTTGCAGAATTATGTGAGAACCTAATTACAGAAGAAGTTTCAAAACTCTGCTACCACTCTTTCTCTTCTTTGCAACTCACGTGGACCAGGGTGTACTCGGGATTCATATACACAACAGCGTGTTCTTGCCTCATCTTGAGCGCTGTGGGAGGCAATTCTTGGTAGAAAGCCAAGCTATGGCAGAGTCACACCTATTAAAACACAGCTCCTGTAGACCTGGCCAAATAAACATGGTACACTGGGGTTGCCAGCTATCTACACTAGCCACCTTGAACGGCAGACACTAAGCTCAGGTGACTGTCAGTCTTTGGGATCTCCAAGTTCTCTTGAACAGAAGAGCTATACGTGGTCTGCAGCAAGGCCCAGGGGTTCAGATCCTGCTGAATCATTCCTCCCACAGGCAGGGATTTGGTTTACTTTGGAGGAAGGACATCAGCTCAGCCCTGACACAGTTACATACTTGCACTCACCTGAACTGCTCCAAAGCTGCCAACAGCTGAAGAGCTACAAGCTGATCACTGTTGTCCTAACCGTTCTCTTTGGGTGACACAGCTAAGCTCCAAAGGTTTATCAGCTGAAAAGCACCTGAACCTACTCACATTAGTTCCCTCACTGCTATCTGATTCATCATCTCCAAGTTTGCCCTTAGAAACTACAGCCTCTGTTAAAAAACAGAGCCATGCCATTTATGAGAAGTCCATCCTTGCTGTGCTGTAGAACTGCATCTATATCTGGCTACCATGACATCATGAGGCTCGAGCAATTTAAAGCAATTAACTTTTCCAACCTCTTAATTGGTCACGGCACACTCCTACTCTGCCATGACTCCAACATCTCTGTGTTGCTATGGGGGATTTAGTAGCTACCAGATCTCACAAAGCTCTCTACAATAGCATGAAAATAGGGTAGACTTTTGCAAGCTGGGCTTTCCTCTGTTGAGCTGTACCATCTTCAGATCCCAAAGAATCCAGAAACATTTTCTCTCTGCCTGGTGGAAAAGAGGTTTACCTCCTCACCTCTCTCAGGCAGTCTGCTTTGGACACTTGGAGGGTCTCTTCATCACAGACACTACCACTCCATTTCCTTCCCCCACCACCATCAGCAGAGGGTAGTAACTGCTCCACATGGACAACGACACAACAGACTGCCCTGGGATACTCCTTTCACCATTGTGCAATTTGCATCCCACATCACATCCAAATGGATCAAGCTTTACCAAAGCAACCTTAAAATCCCTTTCCAGTCCTTCCTACACGGATATGCAGAAGAGCAAAATCTCAGAATCATGTTTACGCAGCAAAGGCACATAATTTTCAGGGAACTAAGAGCAACTTGCAGACAGAAACAGATTGCAGCCTCCAAGTGAGACTGAACTTGAAAAGCTGGCCAGAAAACAATTTCAGATATTAATATGTTAAGGTCTAGCAAGAAAGCATGAATGCATATCAGAAAGTTCAGCATGGTACAGAATGCCTCAGATAAATCAAACCTAAATTTTTCTCAAAATAAAATCATAAAAAATGGTCAAAGAACCAAAACTGCTGCAACACTGGAGAAGAAAAGTAAATTCAGGCTGTTCCTCTTCCCATCCCAGAACAGACACACCACAGAGGCAAGCTAAGGTAACAGCTACACCAACTGCCAAATGCACACTAGTAACCAGTTCTCACTATTTGAGCTATGGTAGCCAGTCTGGCATGGCAATCAGCTGGCATGGCAGCTTAACCTGCTGTACCTTACAGGTAGCTACAATGTAATTTGGCAGAGGGAATTTTGCACAGTGTGACAAGCGCCCTCCCTCCCACAACCAGAGGTTCAGAAGTGGTAACTGCACTGGGAGGAGCTACACGCGAAGCTCCGACAGGCTGAAACGCTTGGGCATGACTGGATACCAGCCTTGGTGGCCTGGTCCACAGAACCAACACCCCTCGTCTTCCCAAGGCTTTGTACTAGAACTATTTCTACCAAGTTTATTCACCAGTTATGCCTCGGACATCATTTCCAGATGATTCACACGTGCTTGGCATCTGGAAATGTGAACTTCCAAATACTGAGGAGACTTGAACTCAGCAGGCAAAGGCTGAAGTCAAGGACATGCAAGACTATCAGCATGCCTGCACTTACCTCATCTCCATCCTAAGATCTATATGAACAGCTAGGAGTTCACAGGTAACCCAAAGACATTGCATCTAGGTGCCAACTTTGACTGTGCATTCATACTCGAAAGCCACGTTGTGAAAATAACTCAGAAAAGCTGAAGCAAACCCTGTTATCCGAATGAACTGGTACGGCACAACCAATGTGCACACACAGCACAAGCGGCCAAGCAGTATGTCTCCTGGACTTAACCTACTCCAAACCGAAAGACACAGAGTGTGTCCCCACTGCAAGAAGCTTCACGGGCACCCTAAAGCCCGAAAAACCCGGGTGTCTTCGCAGAGGTATCTTCCCCTCACACACAGCGGGAGCTGTCTCCCAGGTGGCACAGCACGGTTCACACACCGACTCTTCTTTTTACCTTCCTGAGAGTTACTGAGCTCGCGGGGGCCCACCCGGTCCCCACCGGGCTCCGGTTAGAGCCGCTTCAAGCCCATGCAGCCCGCTGTGCCGTGCCGTGCCGTGCCGGCAGCCCGGTGCCGCCCGCTGAGGCAAACGGCCGTTGCCAGGGAACACCCACTCCTCAGACACCCGAGCCACCACCCCCCCCCACCAGCCCTCTAGGCCGGGAGCGCGACCCGACCTCGGCTGGCACCGCCCCGCCCCGCCCCGCTCCTCCCGCTGATTGGCCACCTTGCCAACCCCGCCTGCCCGCTGGCTAGGAGGGAGCGCGCTGATTGGGAGGCAGGCGGTGAGCGACGGCGAAGGGGCTGGCACGCGCGGCCGTGCCGCGTGCGCGCTCCGTAGCCGGCCGCGCAGGCGCCCTTAAGGCGTGGCGGAGGCGGGGGGGGGGAGTGGCCGTTGGCTTTCCCGCGCAAACGCTCCTTCCCCCACCCCCCCATCATCCTCCCGTCAGCAGGCTCGGTTCCGCCGCCGCGGAGGCTTGGCCGCTGCCTGTGAGGGGTGGCGGGGGCCGTCTGGGAGCGCGTTCCCGGAACAGGAAGCGCCGCGGCTCCGCCTGGCTGCGGGGCGAAGGGGGAGGAACGGAGGCCGCGGGAAGGCCTCGCGTCCCCACCTCCCCGCCCCCCTGGGGACGGCCCCCGCGCGCGCAGTCGTCTCGCGTCCCGCGGCGGTCCCTCCCCAGGGCCGCACACCGCCCCCTCCCCCCAGCGCCCCCTGCGCCTCACAGCGGCCCCGGCGCTGCTTCCGGCCCGGCCATGGTCGGGGCCGCCCGGGCGGTTGCGGACAACGGCAGCAGCGACGGGAGGAGGAGGTGGTGGTGGTGGACTTGGGTCGGGCGCCCGGGAGAGGGAAGGAGAGCGGGCCTCGCCGCAACCCCGGAGCCCCTCGCGCCGCCGCTCCCCTCACCTGCCGGCACCCGCCGCCGCCTTCTGCTGTTCCCTTCCTCTTTTTCCTTTTTCTCCCCTTCTTTTTCTCCTTGCCCCCAGTCCGCTCCCCCCTTTTCGTCTCCCCCACCCCCCGCCCGCCACCCTCGCTCCGCCTCAGCCTCCGGCTCTCCTCCCGTATTGTATGTTTCAATGGAGATGGCGGCAGCTCTTCTAGAGGGGGGTGGAAGGGGTTTCCTCCTGCTCCGCATACCGCCTCTAGGAGGAGTCACTGCAGCCCGGGCCTGCAACAACCCCCCTATCGCTGCCGCCCTCCCAGACATCGTGCCGCTCCTCCTTGCCCGGGCCCCAGGGCTGCTGCTGCTGCCGCCTTCCCACAGGCACCCCCTCCCCGCCTCCTCCATCGCCGCCCCCCCCACCCGCACGCCCAGCAAAGAAAGGGCTCCCCCGACCCCGGTCCGCTGGAGCTGCGGGGCTTGCGGTGCTCGGGAACATAAAGGGAAAATGCGTGATTTGCCGTCCTTCTCCTCACAGGGTGAAGGAGTTAGGAGTCGCAGAGGTTTCCAGGGGGTCCTAGCTTGGGCTGATGCGCAGGGATAGGTTTTGAGGTGCCCTCCGCACACCCTCCCTGTTTTTTGTTAGGAAGGGAGGTGCCTATCCTTATATCCCAAGGCAAGGTGACTTACGCTTCTTGGTGCGGTGCTTTTAATCCAAGTGTTCCAGCATCCCCGAACTGGCTTAAAACGACCGTAACAAAGAGTACTGACAGCTCTTTGTGTCTTGTTGCATTGGAGCGTTTAAGGCGGTCACAAGCTTTTCAACTCAGCCAGGAGGGCTGCAAACTTAACTTTCTTTCGAAATGAAAGCTGAGGTGGTTTTTGTTTTCCCCACAGTTGCACGGATTCAAGAGCTTGAGCTCCAAAACACACAGTAAGTGATTGTATTACGAGTCTCACAGCTTGTTCGTTGGCAGCGCCAAATATGTGATGCAGACTGATGCAAACCGAAGAGCGCAGGGCTACACCTCTTAAACTGATCTCAGGGATATTTTTACATGCAAGTGGGTTTATATCGTCATTCCTATACAAGCATTTTGCATCACTGCACTCGTTTCACTTGAAAAATATCTGGGGGCTGCTCTAATGCACTGGGAGATAGAATATTAACCCGGATCAGCAGAACTCACATGCAGTGTTCAGGAGGGTGTCTGGGAACAACAGACCAGAGCGATAAAGAGGCATCCATGCTTTCAGCTTTCCCTTTGTCACTGCAGAAAAAAGTCACAAAGATTCACTGGCTTCCTGGAGTTTGTTTTTGGCTTTGCCAAAATAAACTTTTATGTCTGTATGGAATTGCATTTGGTGGGGGAAAAAAAGCAATAAAGAATTTATTCAGATTGTGTTAATTGTGGACTGCATTATATCCCAGAGAAAGAGGGCATGAACTGAGGACCTATGGCTTCCTCAGCTGCTCTGTAAGCCTGGGTAAAGGATTTCACTAAACATGGCTGTATTTTGACTGTCACTTAAAATGGAAATAAAGATACTTTGGTTTTAAGCAATCCATTCAGTGAGTAAGAGATATAATGTACTTCGGTGGATTAATGCTTTACAGTCTATTCTCTTCCCCACTTCTTTTTGAAAGCAGGTCAAAATGCTTTGAAACCATAGGAGAAAAGCTCACGTGCATGGTTTGAATTATTTTACATGCAAGGAGAAGTCTTACTTGGATCTTCCCTGTTAACACTTTGAACTTAGAAAGGAAAAAAGATATCTGTAGAACGTAAGTGTATTGAACCATATTGGGAGGGTAGGAGGAATATAAAGAAGATTTTTAAGTACTAAGCATAAAAATGAAAGACGATGTAAAAGCCCTGTGAAAAGGAGGAGAGCATTTACATTTTTCTGTTTCCAGATACAACTAATTGCATCCAATAATCTGAACAGTTATGCCTGTGGTGCATAGCTTTGTAATTAAAAATAGTTTGAGATGAGACAAAATAAGCATCATAAATTTCTGAGAGTATTCCCAGTTTGTTTCAGATTGACATCAAATAGTTGTATGTTAACAACACAAACATGTAGCAGGTCTTTAAAGGAAAGAAATTGTCTTGTATGTGAGACAAACTTTCAGCATTAGAACAACTCATTCTGTTTACAAGATCATTTATCTGTTTACAGGCAACAGTTCCATTCAGGCATATTTCCAGCTTTAATTTTGTGGTTTTCACATCCACCACATAGGTATATGCCGTTCAGATGGATCAGGTGAAATGAACTGGTATAAGGGTGGGCCTCCTCTTCACATTTGACTTTCATGTAACGTGGTCATCAAATGTCACAGGTTTCTAAGAGGCTTACCTCATCCAGTGAATATGGGGCTGTGGCCTCCTAACGCAGATTTTATGTTCCTTCAAACAAGAATCTAATTCAGTAGAGCAGCTATGAGAGAAGGGATCTCCTGCAGCTGGTTTCTGCTGTTTGTTATTGCTGCTTGGGAAGAATGTGTGTTCAGGGAAGCAACACTGGGATGGAGAAAACCCAGATGCTTCTCTGCCCTTGCAATGGCCAAGGAATCACCACCGATGCACAAATCATATCTTGGCCTTCCCGCTGGAGGAGACTGAAGGAAACAGGAGTGCTGGACAAATGTGAGAGAGGAGGAGTGCAAAGACCATAGTGTACCGCCTTTTTTCAAGTCAATCATAGAGGTCTGAATTTTAATACCAATTTTCCTGCCTTTGTGTTTTTTAATTGTCCAGCTGTAAATTCTATCTCATTGTTTCTTCCTCCAGTGGATACAGCTTATCTTAAGCTACATGTTAACAGCATTACATGCATGCTTTATATTGCTATATTGTTTCTGGAAGATTCTGAGTTGCTTTGTCACACAAGAATAAACAATTTTTGAGTAGAAGAGATTAGAGTAAGGCAGGATTCAGAGAGATACCCATGTGAGTTGTTCTGCAGTAACTGCATGTTTAGAACCACCAAGATACACGGGTTTTTCTCTCCAGCTCCAAGTTTAGTGCTGAACACTAAGGCTGCAATGGAAAAGCGATGAGCAGTAGGTCACCTAAACCACATGGTGAGAACTGGCAGGGTGGCTATCTTTGCAAATCCTGTAACGCAGAAGATGACTGGAGGTCCAAGATAGGTCCCACTAGCTGTATGCTCTGGCCCCTTCAATCCAGTTGTTTAGGGAAGAATCGTTACTAACTAACTAGCTCTTCAGAACAAAAACTTGTGATGCTGGATTAGAAGAGAGCTTTTCCAAATCAGCAGGAGCGAAGCCTGCCCTCGCTAGGTTGTGCAGAGACCATCTGCCAGTTGACTTCCAAGTGCAAATACAATCTGTTAGTCTGTCAAAACAAACAACATAGCTATTGATGGAGCATTTATAGACTGACTAATTCTCCAGCTATTGGAAAAAACAGCCTGTTTATGGCACTCGCACTTTTGGGCAGAAGCTGTTAAGTCTCAAACATTGTAATGAATATTTCATAGCTTCAGAACCAAGAGATACAGCTTTGCTCTTGCTTACGCTGGCAGGCATCCAGGGTGGTCCTGGCAGTACAGTAATGTCAAGTACTCTGAAAGCTCTATTTTAAGGGCATATATAATCCAGGAATTTTATCAAATCAGTGTAAGCGTTGTCATGTCATTAGGATAACCTAATACAATCAAAGTTGATGTGTGTGTATATTGTGTCAGTAAATAACAGATGTAATAGCAGAGTTTTGCAAATATTCCATATTTCTGTATTGACACCGCCCCTGCCCCCAAGCTATTTTTTAATCCCTCCTCTATACTGTTTGTGGAGCTACTATGCTAGTAGGTTGTGTACAGTGAGCTTTTCTTCTTAAAGAAGCCAGAAAAGCTAAATCCTACCTTTTTGGAGAACTCCCTTATAGTAGTATTTTTAAAATTAGATCATCCCCTATACTTCAGAATTACACGTCTTTGTGTCAGATTCTGACATTGTGTTTGAGGTAGACTGATGGTTGAGCTGTCTTCAAAGGTCACAGATTACCTAACACATAAACAAGGAGAGAGGTCTTTCCTGTCCAAACGCCAGTGATTCTAGAAGATAAATGCTGCTTATTAGCTTAAAACCCCCAGTGTTTTCATCCTTATGGTTTAAAAAGGAGTGTTTTAATCTTTGCTACTTACCCTTAAACACATCAATGGAGGCTGCAGAGATCATTCTCTTGATTCAATTATTTCTTAGTCATTCATGTAAAAATGGTCATTTAAGACAAATATTTGAGTAATCATGTTTAGTCACAATAATCATGTCCTTTTTTTGTCAATGGAGATTTACAAGTCTTGTCAGCATCACAGAAAAAAAAGAAAAAAAAAGAATAAGGGAACCCAGAAAACAACATTGTGTTGAGAAATTCCTCCCCTCAGCTGTGAAACAGTAACCAAAACCGAGTAACGTACAGGGAGAACTGGTGTGGCAGTCACACGTGGGATGGCTTTCCTGAAGAATTAAACAAGTCAGCACTTGTAGCTGGGGAAGCTGAGGGGTGGTAAGGACACAGCTGATTCTCTTGGGGCTCTGTGCCTCGAAGGGACTGCAGATTTGACTATTAACTAGTAAAAAAACCCTATGTCAGAATCTGAGTTTAAGGAAAGTTGCATGGATAAAGCAATACATTTGTGAGTGATGCCATTTGGCCACAGATTAATATGGTAACCAAACACTGCCAATCTAAGGGGCAGAAAAGCCTCTTGTCTCTGTAACACGTGTGAATTTCTTGTAGCAAACTATTAGCAACAAAATGTTTGGGTTTACTGTAGCAGTCTTTTCGTGCAGAAAGTGACACATCCCAGCAGGTGCCTGGGAGGCTTCTGATGCAGTCATGTTTTGGTTTTGGCATTGTGTAGAACTACATTTCTTTGTTGGAGGAGCAAATACATAACACGGTGTCATTGCACCATTTGATCAAGTCACTCTGCTACAGATCACTCCAGATCTGTACTGCAGGATACTTTCTTAGCAAACTGGCATCTCACTCACAAAACTAAATCACATTTCCCACTTCTCACACTGTTGCAATGGGATCTTGTGTAGTTATGTGTGATCAGTTTTCCCTGTGCTAGTAAAGGTCTTTGTCCCGTTGCAGTTATGCTCTTTGGTATAGTTTGGAGCTGTAACACACCTTTCCTTTCTCTGTGAGATTTACAAGCTCACTGTCTTTATGGATGGGACCATTAAGCTCCAAGTTCTTTCCAGAGAAATTTCATAGGACAGCCCTGCTTTTTTGTCTGCTTTCACAATTGTTCCTGGATTTGATTTAAAACAGGTAATTTGCATCATTAAAATAACAGACTTTATTTTCCTGCTCATGACAGTCCTTGGAGGGGGAAGGACAGGAATAACTGAAAATCTCTAAATGTGACCTATAAATAAGGAAGCTGCATTGAAATAAGCCTAGCTCCGGGTCTCATGTTTGTCTGAGGTAGTACTCAGCAAACCTCCAAAACATCTATTTATTGCACAAGTGCAAAATTTTACTACTCTCCCAGGGAACAACAGGACACATCCAGGAGCCATCAGTTTTACAAAGCAAGAGTGACCTTACAGCCCTATAGAATTGTAGAAATTACATGTTTCAAATACATCCACCTTTCATAGTTGGAGCAAACAAACATGGTCATTTTTCTGCCTAACATAATGCATCAGTCACATTCAGCTCCTTGGGGATTTTGCCTCATGATATGTGTACCCAGAGGAGATCAGGAGGGAGGCATGCACTTTTCCTGTCTGGCAGCTCAAGAGCTAAAGGTTTTTCAGCAAATCACTTTCATTTCAAGGAGTTACCACTGTGTCAGTGCATGTGTTCCCTCTGGGCTAACACAGGCACAAACCTACACATACAGGAGAAGAGTAAGTATCAGTCTCTAAGCAGAGTGGGGAGGGAGAGACTGATGCTCCTGGGGCTGCCCACTTCTCCCCTTTGGCTGCAAAAGGAGCCAGGGGAAACTTGCTCCAATGCAGATGTCTAGGTTTCCGATACCTAACATTAGATGAGAGGAATATATCACTGTGGGGTATAGTGCAATTATCATAATCGCTGTCATGGCAATTGAAACCAAAGTCACCTTCCCCCTGTATTATCATGCCTTGCTAAAACCAAGCCAACAGGACAGGTTCTGTTATCCCCAGATGCACTCACCAAAGGCTCAGCTATTCGATTTGTTCCCCTCCACCACCTCCCCTATTAGCAGGGGATTAGCTCAGAAACAGAGTGAACATTTTACCTTAGATATGATCCCTTAGCAAATAGCTGTTAACTCTTGGGTTTTGGGGTAGACAGACACCACCTTATTGATTCTGTCAATTTTGAGGAAAGACAGTATAAGAAAGACAAAGCTGATAATCACGACCTGATATCTTGGCTTTGTCCTCTCTGCCCTCACTCTTTCAGCCGCTCAATTTGTGTAGCTTTGTGTTTTATGGTTGATTAATTTATATCTTAAGAAAGAGCTCCAATAATGCTATTGATAAAATGGAGGGGTTTAGGCTCTCTTATTGATATGCAGGTTCCCCAGT